GGGTAGCCAATCACAGCGCAGGATTTGATTCATCTTGCCCGCTCACGGAGCTAGCCATATAATAAAATTCGATCTTCCACTGATGATCCTCGGAAGTCTCTCCACATCTCACTTGAACAAGTACACCTATCTTGGATCACGATAAACATTTCTTGATCACCAAGAACTATAAATATTTTATCCAAAATGTCATAGCCATTAAGGACATTAAGAGCTTTGTCTCACTTACTTTTTCTTTAGCAAAATATTTTTTCACTCCTTTCCAACCACATGTCAAATGTCGACTAGCTACAAGTCGACCCTACTAAACTATGCCGCGAAAACGAGCATGCTTCAAATAACCCTTACAAGATCTGCTCTTGATCTGAAAATTACCATATATAATTCATCTGCGTGATTCAAAACATTGTTAATAGGTCAGCAACACTTTACCTCATTTAAACTTCAAAGAAGGGATCTTGTAGATGCAGTCCTTTTCTTGTACATGAAGTTTCACTGAAATATTAGTCTAATGACGGCTTGCACCTACGAAATCCATTTGTTAGAAGTTTTGAATTTATAAATAGAGGACAAAAGTAGCGTATCCCGAATCAACAAAGCAAAGATGGTCTTTGTTAAATGACTACGTCATTAAAAATTAAACACACTGAGTAAACATGATGACAGTTCGGGCTAGAACGATAAAATGAAAAAGAAAACAACTTTGAAACCTACGTGTAGACCTGCTTTATCGCATTGGTGTAGTAAAAGAAAAAATACTATTGTTCATTTACAAGGGGAGGTTGCAAAATTTCAAAGCAATATTTGGTCTTTGTGTTTAACTTCAGTTTGCAATTGGAGAATATTTTACTTACTTACTGAAAAAAAAAACATCCTAGCTGCCATAATTTCGACCTGCTTGAATTATAATAGATCACAATAGCGTCCATCTTTTACGTGCTTGGTTTGAGCTTGTTTCCGGCGAATTAAAACGCCGCGAATGGCGCAATGGGTTTGGGCACATAAAGAGCGCAACGGTTTGTTCAGGCAGAGATGCTATCGAACTGCTTGCGTGAATCGTGGCCAAAAAGTCGAGATTTTTCCAGTGAATTATGCCAGCCGCAGATGTGAACTTTCAAAGGTATATATATATATATATATATAGCTGAAGTGTACTTGTATAACGCGGTCCTCTTCGTATAGTCCAAGGAAATAAACAACTAATGATAAATGATGTAGAAAAATAATAGATTTCGTGATAAAAGCTGGTTTTCTCATACCTGACAGTTTCCTCGTGATTTTGAAGATCGATGTCACCTTCAGAGCCTCAATCACGTAATCTTCGTCTTGTCACTGCTTGTAAAAGCGAGAAGGCTGAGACGAGTACAGAACACTTACCGCGCATGACTGGGCTAGTTGGACATGTAACAAGCGCTGTTATTGTTTGTTTCACCGTCACGTGTTAATTTTCCGCGAGATATACGATGACATGATTCCAGGTGCGCAGGCCAGTAGTGAGGCTATTACCCAGACGTTTCCTTTTTTCCAACACTTTCTGACGCGAAATTCTTCACGACGGAACTTACTCGTTAATTTCCAGGCCCTCGCGTGTACTTCGAAGCACAAAACGCCTATGGATTAGGCTGTTTCAGTCTGTGGAAGGGAGACTTCCGTGACAAGAAAACTGCACCCTACTGCTTCTTTGTTTATTTGTCGAGATTACTGTATAATAAGAATTTATCGGCATTAAAAAAAAAAAAAAAAAAAAAAAAACAGAGACCAAAATGAAAAAGCTTCATGCTCAGTTTATTTAAAAAATTGAAACATAATTACACACAGACATTTATCTACATTTTAAGGCTGCGTGCTAGCGAGTATATCTTCCCCATCTTTGATAGATATTTATTAATTCCGTTACAGAAAAAAAGATATCATGTAAAAAAAAAATGCAAATACAGAGAATATATCCTGGTAATCAAGAAGGAACACTTGCAAAAAATAGCATTCGTATTGTACCTCAATATTAAACAAAAAACTGAGTCTGCTTGCTTAGTTACATGCAATACCCACTACATTTCTTTTATCACTTCTACGTTTACTCTTGTTTGCAAGGACTGCATTATATATATTCCAATATTATAATCTCCATAATATATTTATGACATCGATTTTACAGCTTCAAGGTCTGTTCGGCTGGGTGGAAGACGTTAGGCATCAGGTAAATAACTATCTAGTGAAGAAGCCAGGTTTAACTCCGTTATATATTATGGATTTATCCTGCTGCTCGATAGCAGAACTCATCAGTTTCGAGAACTCTACAGGTTCTTATACCGGGCTTACACCGTTCCTGTGGTTCTAATTGATAAGGAGTGTATCTACTCCTCCCTCACCTTCCCGGCCGGATGCTAACCCATCGCAGGGTTACCCCTGGTATTATATTCACCGGTATACCCATTTAGAGAGAGTGGCATGCGTCTCTTGCTCCGGCCTGGGCTCGAACCGGGACCGCTCGATCCGAGGTGAGGGATACCCATTAGGCCCCTGCTTATCCATATTCATATAACCGGTTCTCATCCGACTTTGCAGTCGCATGAATTCCAAGCTGCACTGCAGTCATAGATGACTTTGGCGTTGTCCAAGAGCCCTGCAAGTCAGCTGTGCGTATTTGTCCAAAATAAGTGAAAAAGCATTCCAATAGTTGCTAGTTTATTGAGCGCATGCGCCCAGCGGACGTATGTCGTGCAGGAGAATTGTTTGAAGTGCTCGTACATATATGTCTTCTGCTGAAGAAATCAGACAAGTTGCGCGAGAAATGTTTCTGTCTCTAAAAGTAGTAATTTCATGAGTACAAAAGGTATATTCCAGGAGCTCAGATGCAAAGTGAGTTATATGTGAATTCAAATGAAAAACTGGAAATGATCTGTTTTGCTAAACAATGCGCGAAAAATTGATCCCCTACTGAAATTGATCGATGAACTTCAGGTTTTAAATCATACTTTGGCAGTGTAGTTTTGATTATTTGCATTTTTGGTGCGTTGTCCCACTTCGACATATTTGTAAAAGTCATCTCCACTTTCTTCTGCTTTGTACGTCCGAAGGGTGACTAAGAAATAGCATTTGCGTAAAAATACATTTTTAGAAAGTCGTCAGCCTATTTGAAACTGGCTCATGGCCTCCTAACATTTCCAGGGTGAGCTTCTATTAAAATTTTTAAAATTTCGTCTCCTGCAAAAGGAAAATATATAAAAAACTATTTAAGCATCGTGTAGTACTGTGAGATTTGGGTACACTATTTACATTAACCTCGGGCCTTGCAGTCACCGGGGGAACTCATTATTCGTTGAGATTCCGCTCGAAAGTGGTTCCTCTTCAGGCTGAAGGTGTATAAAAGAGTACGAATTTCACAAAGTGAAGTATAGGGTCCTTTCAAAATATCTCGAACAGACTGGCATCATGTAGTGGGTACTTAGTCAGGGGAAAAGATATCGAAGGTAAATTAAAGGGTTACATTTTTTCTTTAATTGTATTAAAAGGGAAAGGGTTTGGACCTCGAGAAAGAGACTGCCCGTATTATGCTTTGATGAGCATTCACCCCTCTCCCCTTCCGGTTACATTAAGCACTTAATGACTGGTCCTAAGGGAAACAGTGAGTTTTGTTTCCCCGAGACCCTCAATGTTCCCCGAGGCGAAGAGGTCGAGGAGAAACAAAACACAATGTTTCCCGCGGGGCCAGTCGTTAAGTGTTTTGTTATACCTCCCAACTCAAAAGTAGAAAAAAACTGGAGAAATCGTTTGCTTTGCGCCGGCTGGCTCACAAATTTGCCGTGGTTTCAAGGTGCACGACCTGTTCACGTGCAAGTCGAAAGTTCATGCTGTTATTTCCCTAGGGAGTTAGTGAGTTTTGTTCGCCCTAGGGAGTTAGTGAGTTTTGACCCACGACACGTGACACGTTTTCCTCCAATCGGAAAACGTATTTGAGTTGGGAGGTATGACAACCCGGGTTTTGTCTTTCACTCAGAGGAAATCAGTAAAAGTGATTTGAAGAGTAACGTGATGTTGATACCAAATAGAATAAGGGAGTTTGAGAGTGACTGATTCTCATTAGTATCCGTCATTCATTTCTTTAAATGTTAGTTCGGGGAATTTGGAGGTATATCAAGAAAGTATCTGCTCTCACATCTGCTGCTGCCTTCCGCTGTCAGCAAAGCAACTGAACCTTCGGGCGTGGGTTGGACTGATCGGTAATATCCGGGCTAATAGTTTTTGCACAGCCTTTGCCCCAGCACTAACTAAGCGCTGTTCCTCGCCCTATCGACGGTCGAAAATATTCTTCCATCCACGCGAAGCTAGCATATTAAAGTTATATAAATACGTTTCACTGCCATTATAAATATAAATTTTAACTAACCTCATCTTCTTCTTCTTCTCCTTCATCTGGTGCCTCATCCTTGTCATCAAATGCCATGTTAATGGCCCCCTGGTTAGGACCTACGTCAATGTTGTCTGATTGGCCGAAGTCAGGCTTGTCGTCATCATCTTCTTTCGCTGGCTCGGGTGCAGGTTCTGGGACAGGGAATTCAACTGTCGCTGGACTTGATTCCGGGGTAATCTAATAATTAAATGAAAACGTAAAGAGCTTGCAAATGCGTGGTACTTTAATGTAGGTTTTTTTCTGTCAGAAAGTACTTTGAAGCCTACAAAAACAATTCTTTTTCTTGTGGGGGAGACAATTATCACTTAAAAACTAGCGTATTCATGCTATGAAACTGTCAATTAATGCGTTGTTTAGAATTGGTACCTATTAGGGGTTAACAATAAATTTCAAGCGAGGCCCACAAAACAGGATCTTGGTACCTCTTAGGGGTTATTTTCAAAATTTCCGACGAGCATCCCGGTCCTTTTTATAGGGGAGTACCCCCGGAAGTTCCCTTTGAATTTTTGAAAACCCGCCGGCATTCAGTGCGTGAATACAGTAGACACTCAGTAAACGTTCACACACGTTCCTTAATTCACTGTGTATGTGCCAGCAATTTGAGACTACACAGAAGTAACATCTCTTAGAAATCGAACATCTTAGAACATCTCTTAGAAAAGTAAACCGTAATACTGGTTCTCTTTGAATTACTGAAGTTAGCTTGGGCCGACTCTATGAGCAGACAGTTGATACTGGTCGCGATTAATCTTGTCAGTATCTTCGAGACAACTGTCATTGGACCCATCTGTTTTTCGTGCTTCAGTTAACAAAGTGTGATTTGCACCAATCGGAATGAGAAAAATTGTCAGGGATTCATGTACCACGAAAAGGAAGGAAAAATATAAAACAAAAAAAATTACAAAGTACACAACTCACGACTATAGTCACAGACGAAGTGACGGTGTCTTCTCCTGTCTCGGGAGGCTTCTCTGTAACTGGCGGTTCACTGATTGGAGGAGCATCTTCCGAGCCATCCTTACCAATAAAAAATAGCACTCACTGTCACTACTATAAATCAATCGAGAGCACCAGAATATCTGCATTTTGGGAAGGAAGTTGTCAAAGATTACCTAAAGACCTATCGATCGAAATGTCAAATTTCCTGTCCGCACTTGTTTTGGGCCGAAATTTTGCTAGCCATCCGCGTGAAACTAAAACGTTTCCGGCCTACGGCCCAAGCTAGAGTCAACGCCGTTCAGTTTGAAAAAGAGAGTTACTTACAACAGCCTCGTATTCATTTGAGGGCTCTCCTGCAGGCTCATCCGGTGATTTGATTGGCTTCGGTTCTGGTTCATCTATTGATTTTATTGGCTCACCCTCGGATTCGTTATCGGGCTCAGGTTTGGCCAGCGGCGCTTTTTCAGTATTGGGCTCTCCATCAGATTCGGCTGCAAATCAATTTGTTAAACTACTTAATGAGTGTATACAGCCTTAATTATTTTCCCTAGTAATTCATAATCTTAGATGTCTGCAGCAGAGCACGAGAGTATACGTGTCTGGAGTGAATATGACCTTTAGTTGATGTTAGGACTAGAAACTGCACTCGTTACAAACGAGTTCATTTCACTCGTAAAAAACGTCTGGCCATTCTCTTTAGAAATGATTAGTATCAAAACCTTAGATTAATTCTCGGTATCCTAGTTCCTTAAACCGGGTTCACACTTTAAGCGATTACAACAGAAAGTTTCAACAAGAGATTTGCATCATGTTGAGTTTTTTGATCTCTAAGATCAGCTTCACTCACTTTGATCTACTTTTTGACCGTCCTCAAAATCCTTGATTGCAGACAGAAGCGGCATTTCATCCTGAGTTTGTTTATGTATGACCACTTCCTCTGGTTCGTCTGTCTGCTTATCGTCCGACCGAGGAGTATCTGCGCTCTCACCATCAGCGTCTGTTGTGGCTTCTTTATTTATTGCGACTGTATTGGTGAAAATCATCCGGGGCTCCTCTGTAGAATGGCCGACACTCTTAACGTTTCTGCAACATCTCTATCGAACAACAGTACAGGTCAGTGAGTCAGTCGTTGAGATAAAACCCGCTCCAAGCTCAATCATCTTGGACAGTGTCTGGCGTAGTAAATCTGCGATACAACCCTTGTTCAGATCCACCTTCAAATGCTTATTTAAAGAACAACTTCAGACGTACACACAAAAGCACTCACTTTTCGGCGAAGCTCAGGGTATCAGTTAAATGTCGTCGAAAATATCCTCGCACACTGATCTATTTATTTCTTTTGAGACTCTTTTGAAGGCCACTGCGCTCCCCTTACGCATCGCATAACCCCCACCTCTCACCCTCCACCCACGAATTAAAATATCTAGACGGAACTAACACAGCAGAGCACAGCACAACATAACTTAGACCCTCAATTTTCCTTTATTGTATAAATAATTTCCATTTAATGTTTCCGAAGAGTAGCTAACAAGAAGAAAAATCCTTCCTAAAAAATAGATATCCAAATAAAATATAGCATGCCGCGGGGTACTTCGGTCGATGTTTATGTCAAAAACACATTTCCTTGTCTTAGGACTCTTAACTTACCACACAGTAGAATATAAGTAAAATGAGGACTACCACAGCTAGGCCAACTCCGATACCAATACCGATGCGCTGAGCTTCTGTGTATTTTTCAACGTATGCATCTTGATCAGTTCCTATTAGTTCTACTTTTTCAACCTAGAGATAAAGTACAAAAGAAAAAAAAAAGCGATTTTGTAACAAGGAAGATAAGTTACACGACACCGTGTACTGCCACCGGTTTACGGCGGGTGAACAAGTGGATTCGCGAACTACATGCACAAAGTTCGCTTCCACTGAGGATATAGTAGCCTGAGTATCAGGCTTTTCCTACTCGCGGTGTAGGAGGAGGAAACACCCGGCAAAGAAGGCTCTGCAATTTCCCCCTACCCCTACCCTCTTGCTAAGAAAGGTCTGATACTCAGGTTAAAGATATGGAAAATAAGCGACTACGATTACCAGTTGAGTAAGGCGCGACGAAAGTTTGGTGACCAGGTTTTGACGTTCAACTTGTGTTGTTGTCACGGCAACTGGCTCCGATACAGTGGCAGCTTGTCTGTATTGACGTCATTAGCAGCAAAACGCACGAAATTGCAGGCGACGATATTGTTGCCATTGGAAACGTGGAAGTTGCCCGTGGCAACACCGTAATTTTAACTCCAGAACTTCATCCCCAAAGCTCGTTCGCGCCTTACTCAATTGCAACTGATAATCGTAGTACTCGGGTCCCGGATGTTGTTTCGTATGAATTTTACAAGTGGTGTATTTTCCAGTAAAACGCTCGTATCTATATAATAATATGTACTTATTGACTGTGTGGGAGGGCCGGACGGAAAAATATTTGGCTCGGGGTCCGTACGTCCTGAACTCGAGCCAAATACATATATTTTCCCGTCCGGCCTTCCCACTTAGTCAATAATTACATAATATCCAATATGTTCGGTTTTCGCGTAACCCATCAAAACATTTGTGATATCCGCTGTGTCCAACTGCTGCTAAGCTCGGAACTGCATGTTGCATTAGGGTGACGTTTTAAATGCACTTCACAAACTTGATAACGTCGAAAAGAAAACCCCTTGCCTCCGTGTGTTGTTAGAGGTCTGCATCAAAGGATAAGGCCCGGGTCAAACGCCGTATTTCACAAGAGCCGAACCCAGTTAAACCAATTAGGCTCATGTGAAGTTCGGCGTTTGACCCAATTAAGTTCGACTGATTTTATTTGGAGAGGCTGAGGCGTTCTTCACGCCTGGCCAGCCGTGAATAACGCCTGAAGACCGACTTTGGGTCAAACGCCGATCGTCACATGAGTCGGATCAAATGCATAATGCCTAAAGGTGCCATTTTGACTTTACCTTGAAAAACCAATGACCAACAAGACCGCTTTTGTTATTTGTTTGGTGTAGCAGTTCTGGCATTCGGTTCGACTGAATTAAGTGTGACATTTGACTCAAAAAGGCGTTTTTTTAAATTATTTGAGTCGACCTAAACTGTCATTAAGTTCGGCTCATGTGAAGTACGGCGTTTGATGACCGGGCCTAAGATAACTTCCGATAAAACTAAAATTCGAGGTTTCAGTGTCAACTGAATTCAAAATTACGAGCGAATTTTTTTCTTTTAAACAGGAATTGGTTCTTATTAGAGTCATTGTGTAAGTGGATTATTTCAAGACCACAAGTTAAATTCTACTCATTAATTAAAAAGTTTTTTTTTTTCCGGCGGCTACTTACTTTTCTCTCAAACACTTCATCGAGGAGTATCATTTTTTTGTTCACCCAATAATCGTACAGAATTTGGAAAGCCTTGATAGTCATCTCCTTATCCAATGTGTCGAAATCCTCCGTGCTGTTGGAAATATAGAACTTTAAAACGGCTTTGTCGTTATAATACGTCTTGTTCTCGCACTTTGCATTGTTGTTCATAAGCTTAATTCTTGCCGGGTTGACACGTTCATACTCCAAGTCTTTCATTTCAATCAAGTCATCTGACAGCGCCTTTTTAAACAGAGTTAGCAAGAAACACAATCTTCCCCACGACATCTTGAAGGTCATCTCGATGTAGACTGACTCTTGCTGAGGCGCTGATGTGGCATTGATGAAGACAGAGGATGTGAACGAAGTTGTGATCGACGTTTGAGGAGAGGGAACCGCGGCTACGGTTGTTGTATGTTCCTGAGTGAAAGGTGTGACTGTTACTGAGACAGAGGATGTGAACGAAGTTGTAATTGACGTTTGAGGAGAGGGGACCGCGGCTACGGTTGTTGTATGTTCCTGAGTCAAAGGTGTGACTGTTACTGAGACAGAGGATGTGAACGAAGTTGTGATTGACGTTTGAGGAGAGGGGACCGCGGCTACGGTTGTTATATGGTCCTGAGTCGAAGGTTTGACTGTTACTGAGACAGGGGAGGTGGACGAAGTTGTAATTGACGTTTGAGGAGAGGGAACCGCGGCTACGGTTGTTGTATGGTTCTGAGTCAAAGGTGTGACTGTTACTGAGACAGGGGAGGTGGATGAAGTTGTGATTGACGTTTGAGGAGACGAATTCGTGACTACAATTGTAACAGCCTGAGAAGAAGTTTGAATTACAGGTGTACTAGAAGATGCACGTGATGAAACCTGAGTTTCAATTACCGCTGAACTTTGGGCTAGAGAAGAAATGGGTCGGCTTTTTATTGAAGCAGATACAGGCACAGAGGTCTCCACTGATTCAACTAAGCTGCTTAATGGAGACGAGCTGGCCACGACTGTTGAGCTCTCTGCCCCATCTAAAACGAAACGGACCATTAAAGGTTAAAAAGATTAACAAATCAAAGTCCTCCAAGTTTACTAAAAGGCTACCAATATCGGGTCAAGTTACATAACGAGACCGGCTGTATTGTAGGGGTTGTTAAATAACACCTGAGCTGAAAGGCTCGACAAGTCCGGCCTGGAGCGTGGGCTCCTTTCCAGAACAGCGGTTGGTAATCGAATCTACTGAAGTGACTGCCCTAATACGTTTTAAAATTGCTTTCCAAACTGAACCCCTAAATAAAGTTTAAGCAATAAAGTTATTTCGTACCAACCCTAGTCATGATCAAAACTTTTTGGTGGCTCCTGGGACCCGGGACGTTGGGGACAGTGGGTAAATTTCTTGGCGCTGGATTCACAATCAAAAAGGCTGCATATTTTAGGTCTAAAATCGGCTTTAATTTAATCATAAGTTGTTCGCGATGTTGCAGTCAATTCGTGTTGTTCTCTACTGAGCTCAATTTCTTCCAACAATTGTTCATAGATACTAGGGAAATCGGACGGTTGAGCTAGGGAAAGGGGGAATATCGTGAATTCCAAAAAGAGCCCTAGTCTACTAGTTTGTTTTATTCTCATACCTCCATTGATAATGAAGAGTGTCCGTACCATGAAAGTCATCAAGATAATCGCACTTTGTCCTTCGTATTTCCACGTAGCCATCATTAAAATCCTTGTCAAAAGACACAAAGAACAAAATCACAAGGAAAAAAAATCACAAAACTTCAGAAAGCTTCTAATTTATTGTTATCTACATTTAAGAGATACTAAGAGATTTGCCTAAACATGACTAGAGAATTTTAACTGTAAAAAGCTGCGAGTACATCGAATGCATGCATGCGTAGAAGTGGTGATCATGAGATGCCCTGCCAACAGATTAGGAGACTCCTGATTTCACTGTGCAAGTCTAACCATTTCTGTTCTTTCTACTGGCAGAATGACGACTGTATCTCACCACTATTTTTTTTTTTTGGAGGGGAGTGGGGAGAAGGGAAGAGTGGAATTACGTGTAGGATACGTCGCAAAATGAATTAAGCGTGGTGGTCTGGGGGAAAGCTTTACTAGAACTAGGCAAGGTGAGCAGGTCGGCAATAACGAGTTTTGTTTTTGCGTCAAAATGTGCTTACGTAGAGAAAACAAAACAACGGAGAATGGTCTAGGTGCCAGAGACGCAATTGAAGGGTTGGGGGAGCTTGGGGAATTCTCTCCTCTGAGATTTAAATTTGCTATCTTTTTATTTTACTCATTATTCCTTCATTAGAACCGAGGAGCACTGGGACTAGACCTTTTCTTTGTCATCCGCCATCTTGGGAAAGTCCGTTTGAGCGGAGGTTTTATTGTGACAGCTATGGCAGTTTGTGGAAAATATTGAAGAGGTGAGTTATCTGTATGTTCTGTTTTGCCTGAACGACGAAAGCGTTGAGTTTTAAAATATATATTTAATCTTATACACAAGGTTTCTTACTTGACTGCTAATAATGTTGAAGTGAATTTTGGGTTTTTCAATACGCTGGTATATTACAAACGTGTCCATTGCCATTCCCACTAATGAGATATCCATGGAAATATTGTAATCGAATTGTAATATTTTTAATAAAATGTGGTTACGTTTTTAGTAAGAATAATTTTATATAGTTCTTTATAATTGATAATAATCAATTAATTGCTTCATAATTATATCCATTCATAATTTGTACCGTGTTTTAATCTACTTGTATAACACTAAAATGATTACAATTTAACGTCTTTATGGGTCACATATTCTACATGTAACAAATCTCTAAGCATGTATTGCGTGCCGTTTAATGTATCTCTTATCCGGCTCCCGTCCGGCGGAGTTTTAATTGACCTTTTTGAGGAGTCAGACCCAGACATTAGGCTACAGGCGCTCTCTCTACCGCTAGGCTGGGAAACACAGCCTTTCTCTTCAAACTAACCGGAAACTTAGGACTGCGATATGCAATGACAACGTGTTCTTAAGTATTAAGAAACTGCATCCGACCGGAAATTGGGAAATTCAAAGTTTAGTACCGGGTATTAGACGCGTAAATCTACAATAAATCGATTCGTTGCCAGGGTGATTGTCTTGTGAAACTGCCCGAGGGGTAAGCCCATGCAAGGGAGTACCCCCCGGGAGGCGAGAAAATTGCGATCACAAAACTGTAGGACTTTTGCCGGTTCAGATTGCAATATTTCGACTAAGGGTCATTCTCTATAGTTTTACCATGTTTGGCTTTTAAAAACAAGGAAGGTTTTTCTCTGGGTCAATGAATAAATTTATTCACTTTTCAGGATTCAAAAACTGGGAGACCGCCTGGGCAGAAAAGTTTCAAGGGTCTCAATGCTAGATGGTCGCTCTGTACAAACTTGGAAGGGGTGGCGGATGGTCCTTTGAACTCTGGGTCTCGCAAAATTTTCGCCGAATTTCATGGGTCTCGCAGTTTCGTTTTTTAACGGTGATGTGCGTCTCGCAGTTTCCGTTTTTTTCAAGGGCAAGAAAGTCGAGAAGTACCAATTTGTTTATTTTTTATATATACGCTAAATGAGTGAACATCTTACAACCTGAAAGTCTCCAGTTCGCATTTAAAACACTTTGAAGTCTCGGTCTCGTAACTGAAACAGTGAAAATGTCTCGGGCTCGCAAAGAAAAACGCTTGTCTCGCATTTACGATTCAGCACCACTAATGAAGGTCACTGATATCTTACCAAATGGCGCCAGAGATGAAAAAGGCTGTTGATGGAGACAGTGATTGAAAAACTGGCCGGAAACTTACTTGAGAGTCTCGCGCACAAAAATAAATCGGAGTCGTCAATCATTGTGTTATATTGAGAAAAATACTTCATCGCTGATTTGTTTCCAACTTATTTTACTGATCCTAGGCGGTGTGAAGAGAGTGCGAAGATATCTCATCGCTGATGAAATATGATAAATATGTTTGTTCCAGTCAAAGGTCATGTCATTTCATACCGAAGATGGGAAGGCAACAAAACTAAATCAAAGCTTGCGCCTTCCTCGCTTTCGCCTTTCTTGTACTAAGATGTCAACAACGAAATTGTAATCCTCAGTACAAAAATTAAGTTACGCGTACATTAAAGAGATGAACTCAGTAAATAGGAACGTACTAAAGTTTGCGTGCAGAGCGCGTCGCTTAGATTTATATACGGCCTTTACTTTGCCATCTTAGCATAAATCAAAGTAAACAGAGGATAGTAACTGAGTAAAACACATGGAAAAGCAAAATTCTAAGCCAGGTTCCTACTACAGTAAATAAGATCTAATAACTGCGAGATGGAGTACAGTCCTTCTTCAAGGAAACGCTGTTATTTCCGACAAAACGCGTTGTTAGGGATGTTGAAATGTTAAGTGCGAGTATTTGAGTATTTAGCCTGGGCGTTTGTCTATGGAAAAACCTTCGCAAGAAACAATATTAAGCTAATGCCAACATGATCTGTTTTGCCCTTACCTTCTATCTTAGGAGTAGATTTGGCTTAGCTTTCACCTTATGCAATCACAGCAACCCACCGTGCAAGACCGATGTTTATCACGCGAACAAATTCTTCGGTTCCAGACCTCAGTGCTGAGACGGAAACTTGACACTGAAGCTAAGGAAGCCAGCTATAAGCCACAGAATCCGAAGGTCAGCACTAACGTTCATAAAAAGACACAATCTTGTGAAAGTGAAACTGTGATGGAATAACTTCCTTCAGGAAGAACTTCGAAAATTAATGTATCTTTTCAATTAAGAAGAGAATTCGTGCTTTTGTCATGTATATTTGACAGGCTTGAATGATTAGTTTGGTAACGCAATAATGTCTCCATCTGGGAGGAGGGGTGAAGTGAGGAAGGGAGGGGAGGGTTGACTGATCTTTATTGCGCGTGCAAACTTCCATGCCAGCCCACTGGAAGGGAATTTTAACATTGTAATTGTAACCTCACTGAAATCTCCCCGGTTCGTTTACACTAAAATCCATTTCTAAGTGTAGCTAAGAACAGTTAACAAGTTTAGCCATTTATCAGTTATCATCCTTTTTTGCAGTCTCCCCCCCCCCCCCTGGAATCGTCCATAGGCGGTGTGGATATGATTTAGGATCTTACAGAACCATTTAGCTTTTGACATAATATTTGAGAGGTACTTGTACTTTGCACAACTATGAATGGTCACGTAACTCTGTCAACTAGATGTGCTTAGAATGTAAAGGTTCTTGCACGTAGCTACGGACAAGCAAGGTCTCTACTGCATACCCTTAGGTAGTGGGATTGCCGAACTTCTGATAAAATCGTAAAATTCTGCATTTTTAAGCTCATTAGTCAGTTGTGAATTCCGGAAATCATTGAATAGTAGTTCACTACCTGGGTTAGCTTTTCAGTCTGCCCTGTTGCCATGATAGGATCACACTTTGGTTAAACAATATTCTTCGAATTTGGGAGAGCAAAGTCTGTCAATCACCTCGTGTATTGTGCTTGTCGATCCAAGTTTAAAATATACGGCAATCAACCTCCCCCAACTTTCTCTGTGTACGTTGTGGCTTCCATCAAATGCTAAACAACGATAAAAGGCATTCTTCAAATTCCTCGTGCAGAAGAGACACGAATCATGTTACTAGCACAATAGATTACAACACGAGAAAGGTGTTCCATAAACGCGCGCAACGCGAATTATAAAACTGACTGTATGTAATTCTACACCTTTTATTAAAAAAAAAGTGCGAGGTGATCGGAGTGTTGTTGTAGAATTTAGCCATGTATACGATATCTTTGTATTGCTCTTGGTATTCGTTAGATCTGAAGTATTGTCTTAGGTATAATGGACTCTCATCAGCCGCAAAAACACTTGACTGTATCTAATTTACATTTGTGATCATTTTACCCACAAATTGGGTAAATGTTGCTGCCGTGTGGCGCGGCGGCGCACGTAATCAGATTATGGTTAAAGTCACGCAAAGCCAAGATAGTCACGCACAGTTATTTGACGTTTCTCTCAAACATTAGA